CTTTAGCTGGAATGCAACTCTAGCAAGAAGAGAGAAGAGGCCGCTGGCTCCGCCGGCCGCATTGGCCGATGACGAACGCTAGCAGCAAGGCGGTGAGAGAGTTCCACGCGACGCAACGCGTCTTTCCCAACTGGGTCGCGTTGGGCAGTATGCCCAGTATGCCAATCTGATTTCCGACCAGCAATGAGAAAAAAAACAAAACAAAACAAAACAAAACAGTGATTCGTTCAGAGGGAGTTAAAGGAATGTCTGGCCAGGGCTCGGAAATACGAGTTTATGTTCTGAAATAGGCTCATAACGGAATGTACTTTTTTTTCTTTCTTTTGCAAGGCCGATTCTGTGCTTGTGGCACTGAAAGGCATCAATAGGTGGGTTGACAGCGATTGGAGGTCTCCTGTTCATAGATCTGAGGTCGATGTCAAGTCAATCTTTGTTTGCTCCAAATAATACTAGGTTGATCTTGTGGCATGGCTGCACTGTAGATAAGACTCGAATCTTCCACGGCATGAAGGAAAGTGGCACCTAGCCATCATATGTACAAGCAAATGGTATAGGCTAGCAAGAGAATATCATGAGAAATTTAAAAAAGCACGGCCAGTCTTTGGGATTCCATGCTACGTCGAGCCTTGGCGATCAAGTCAGTGGTCTCTGACAACACCTCAACCGATAAGAGACATGGCTCCTACAACCATCAATACTTCAGATCCACCCTTGAAATGCTAAAGGAGAAAAAAGCTCAATCAGGTGACTTTCAATGCCGTCGGGACTCAGGACTTGGCGGTCGCTGGTGATCATTATGTCGCATCAATCGGTCCCCTGGATTCTGCATCATGAGAGGGGAGAGACGAGCAATGAGAAGCCAGTGAGAAAGAAGACATCACTTTCTCGAAATGATGCCGGCCAGTCTGGATTTAAGAGAATCCAAAAAATTTTCTTCCCCAGATCGTCTATATATTTAGATGACACGGAAAATCATTGCAACATTTAGCTCGACGAAGCCAACCAATAAATACTCCGACTCTCTGGTCCGGCTCCCCTGGGTAGTCCCGCCATCAGCTTCGAGCTTGCATAAGGCAATACCCACATCGATCTCCTGGGAACGAAGTGGACACGGCACTACAAGGAAATGTGAGCTAATCAGCGCCATGTAGAGCCGAGATATGCACAAACTTTCAGTGAAATGATTGGTTGATATCAGGCGGTGGCTCCCAGGAGCCTTTGGGCCGTCAATATCAATGCTATCATTGGATATTTCCCATACAAACTATATCTGCCAAGGGATATTAAGCCAATCGGTGCCCTGAATGACCCACATGCACCACCATATCCTCAAAAGGAAATGATTGTTCCAAATTTGGCTGTGAGCTCCTGCGATCCAGGGTGAGGGTCTCACGTATAATTATACGTGAAAAATATGCACCAGATAGATGCTTCATATCAAAGAAAGCTATGGTCGACTCTAGATACAAGACTTACGCGAGGAAATAAAAGAAAGATGGCTCCCTCGCGTCCAGAGGAACCCAGATGCGCCGTAAGGATCCGTGTCATCCGCTTAGCGTGTATGCCTCATGTATATCCCTAGCACAAAATAATTTTGTTCCATGGAGCTTTCACCGCGCTCAATGCGGTTAGATGATTCTACTGCTGAAAGACAACAGCTGATTTCCTCAATGTAAGGGTGTAGGTGTGATGGATTTTGTCTGGTATATGAGGTAGTTACCAATACTGAAGGAACATAGAACATTATGCATTTGGGTTAATAGGTAGTCCGGAGTGAATCATATTATTGACGCGGCAATCTTCGAGTAGAATAATGCGCTCATCATCGGTTAGTGAAGGTTGCCGCCCCACCCATCGCAATAACATACGGACACATGGTGGTGAATGTTGATACGTGTCATCGGTGCTTCTCTGCGGCATTTTCGCGACTGTTTAAATGAGACCAACAGTGAGAAAAAAATTCATATGCTGGATCATCAGGAAAAAATACAATGCCTTTGAGTGCTGCATTAAATCAATGATGAAATGTTAAACCAGCTGCAATTGGAGAGCCAGCTGTGTTTGTGCCCTCACAATTCACAATTGTCATCGCATCGACGCAAGCAGAATGCCTGGCTGCAATGCTATAAATGCACGAGCCCTCGCCAACATAACATTCGGTCTCAAGCATTCCTTTGTCACTCTGGGGCAAAGAGTATCGATCGCTTTTCGTCTTCACCAGCAACACTTCGGTATGGACTGACCTCGAAGTCATGCACTTACAATTGAACTGACATTTTGCATAACACTAGCCTGTCATTATTCGATGCTGAAGTTTTCAAACAGCAAGTGAGTGTAGCTGTCCCGTCATTTGAAATCATGCTGACATGGAATATGCTCAAGATCAGTCCCCCTCCACTACTCCTCTAGGAAACCATATGACAGACCTTGGATGAGCTCAAGAATGTTCGAAGATGCGAACACGGTGAGTTATGAAGTGCCTTCATAAGCTGCCTACTGATGATTAATCATAGATCGAAGTCGTCCCTTACACAGCCGCTTCGGCCTTGTCGGAATGCAGCGAACAGCAATAGCTAACAACGTAAGTTTTTGTCAGAGACAATTTGGAGAGTATTCATCCTGAGCTAATGACTCCCTGTATAAGAAGGCAAACGTTCGATCACGAGCCGCTCGATCTCCTCTAAGTCATCCCCCTGCGTTGCCTCTGCCTATTCCCATGGCCGGGGCTCCATTTTGGATCTCGGTGCAGATGTTATCTACTTCAGGTTTGCTCTTGTCGTGCTCTCTGTCCACCAGAAAAGATTGCTGATGCTTTTCTAGTCATAGGACAAAGTTCAAGATTGCACTCGCCACAACCGAGCCGTACTTCCCCATTGTCCTCAAATCAAGGATGCACGGCTGGCCGGGCCACTGACCCTCATTGTGTTTCTGCTTTGCTGTTTCAGGACACTTGCTCGAAATGCCCATTTCGCTTGTGTTGATAGAAAAATCCAGAGAGCCTCAGTACCCTTCGATCAGCATATGGTAGAGTTCCAACATGTTTTTATATATCCCAGCTTCATCCTGTCCGGCCAGAGGTTAACTGTCATTATATTAGCTTCCATATCCCGATGGCCCTGCACCTCTTGTCCCATATCCGATTCGAAGCCTCGACGACGGCATCATCCGGTCCCATTCTAGGCTGAGTGAGCTATCGCAGCATCCAGCGACAACGAAGAAAAGTCGAGCATCGACGGCCACCGAGTAAGGACATGGTCCCTCCGAGGGTAGTATCAACCAGTAAGGAATTGAGCTTCTGGCCACAGTCTGAGGAATAGCTCTGTCAGCGGTTGGAGCTGAGCAAGTGAAAAAGGCAGGCCGCAGCACTGTATCTACCCCAGATCTCTCGCTACGAGAGCAGTCGCTACCAGGTTAGTTCCTAGTTTGCCCTAGCCAAAATAGCATGAATCTCTCCTTCAGTGGTCTTTTGGCCCGACACGACTGAAGATCCGCCTGCCGCACGAACAGCAAAGACGAAACAGCTATACATTGGAAGATATGGCCCACATCCATTCCCTGCGGTACGGGCTGATCCCGGGCCCTCGTGCACATGTCATCGAGCCGAGCCCGCTACCTCGTCTCTGGCTTGGCTATGCTGATGCCAAACTATATTGACGGCAAGTCCGTACCACCCTCATTCACCGGAAATCATGCTGACATAGGTAGTGAAACACAGACCTAGTTCGACCGTTCCCATGAGTCCGACCGGGATGGTGTATTGTGGCTGTTGCTGGAATCTCATCTATGCCGCGGGCAAAGTAAGTTGTGAACACCCATCTTGCGCCAGCTGCTGATAATTGGTGCTAGATCGATTGTACTCAACTGCAAAACGCTTTGACCTTGTCCAAATGCAGACGGTGATTCAAAGCTGCCACCTTGGCTTACTTGATAACGAAGGCTGGCGAGTATGATCACATCACTAACATAGTTTGGGGGCCAACTAACCTGTTGGACCCCCTGTACTGATGGTATTGTTCTGTCATCCTGATACGCGGACTCGCCGGCAGAAGCAGCCTCGCAAGTACGGCCAGTCGATTGCCGCGACGGTTACAATTGCCAGATGATTATCCAAAAAATGCCAGGTCGATTTGTGATACCTGGTGGAGAAGACATGCTTGGCAGGTCGTGCAGGGTTGTAAAACCCTTCACTCGTTCCTGGTTTCAGGGCATTGCACACACACACACACACACACACACTCCTGTAACTTCCACTCTTCGGAATCGAGTCTCAAGAAACCGACACTCTGGCTCGATTCCTTCATGCAGTTCTTTATATTGTCGGTTCGACTAGTGCATGACGTTGGTGGGAATGTGGGGACGTCACCAACGTCATCCTTTGTAAAGACCCTAGCTCTACATTCCCCACCCTTTCATCTTCCGTTGAACTCCTGATCTGGCCAACTGTTGAATAGGTAACAGTGCACAACAAGAAGCCATGTATCTGTTCCGATCCCACGTGTGGCCTTCGCAACGCATTCCCGCTTCATGGATTACATATCTACTTCCTCACACCGGAAGCACCGCGGGAAAAGATGCTGGAGCCTAGGACGGGGTGCGCTTTACAGGAGGCAATTCAACAGGAGCATTCCGACTCCACCACCTGAAAAGCTGGATATTCTGGTTGATTCGCCACCTCTTATCTGCTACGGCTCACCGACAAACTCTACTGGAGCGTTGTTTTCGGGTCTCCTACGCATAACAATCACAGAACCGGCCGACAGGATCGTGGACCAGTTAGACGTCCGCTTCATTACAAAAAAGACCACTAAAAAGCCCGTGCGGAAACACTGCCCAAATTGTGCCACCCATGGCGAGGAGCTGACCCGCAGGAGGCTCCTCACCGAGCCTCTCTCCTCAAGAGTGAGACCTATGAATTTCCTTTCAGTTGTCTGCTTTCGGGTCATCTACCCGCCTCCTGCAACAGGTCATTGGGCCAGATAGAGTACTTCCTGCAGGCGCACATGCGTACCACTACAGATGAGGAAATATTCCAGGAGATACCTTTGCAAGTCCGCAGGGCCCTTATTCCCGGCAACGATATATTATCCACCCGAAGTTTCACACCAACCAGTCTCACTTGCCTTATTGTACAACCATCAGTCGTCCACCCTATCAGCAGTTTCCTGGTGAAGATGGAATTGAGCGGTATATTTGACAAGGACAACGAAACACATGTGCGATGGTGCCTGCGAAGGTTGATGTGGCGGATTGAAGAGCATCAGACGATCGTGTCGTTCGCGTGCAAGAAGCACGCCGGCAAACTTCATGCCGGCTGCAAAGACGTCCTGCATCAGGAGACGCGCACTGTTGGCCATAGTGAAGAAAGGTGCAGATGGAAATCTGATTCAAATATCGCCGCCGGCGAGATCAGCATTCAGTTCGAGGCCAGCATCAATTTGGTTACCGATCCGCTTTGCGATTTCAAGCCCATAATGGTCTAGCGGTCAAGCACAACCTTTTTATCGAGTTCATTGTGGCTGAAAAGTTCTGTCCGAGCCGGAAAATTAGTTTAATCACTCCCACCGGATCTGCTCGTCTGTTTAGTGTAAAGCTCCGGCTTCATGTCACAGAGCACAGCGGCCTTGGCATTAGCTGGGACAATGAGATGCCTCCAGTCTACAAAGATATACCCACCAGAGCGCCGGAATACACTACGGTAGATAGCACCAATAGAGCCATGGAGAACACCCGTGGATCTTCATTGCCGCTCCCAGACTACGAAGAGCTGGAACATATGGAGCCATTGGATTTCGTTTAACAAGTTGACCCATTCTTCCCATAGGGGAACGAGCGGGAGCGTGTATTTTGCTACTGTTAATATTCCCGGTCCGCCTCGCGCCCTGTCTCGCGGCTCCTGTGCCGAGTTGTCATTTCTTTGAATCTTGCTGTCTTCTTCTTTGCTAGCTGGACATTGCTATTCGGATCGTCGTGCGTCCGGTACTCAAGGTTGTGATACGAGGCTGATGCAAATCAGGAACAAAGTCACAACATCGCTAATGATTCCCGAGGTGCCCTACATATGAGAACCAAGTTGATTGGAAGTCAACGTCGGCTTCTCGCTGTATATATATCATACATATCCTCAACTTCTATTTCTTCAAAATAACAACAAAATATTTCGAAGCACAACAGTTCCTAGTCTTCACCATGCCTGTATGAGACATCCTTGACTTGCTAAAATTGGGGTTTGGGTGAACCATTGTCTGGTATATGAAGCTCGTTTCATGTTGGGAGTGAACCTATCCACCGCAGTCACAGTTAGACTGATGAGCCTCCAAACTGCGTCATCTAAAGCCCTCGTTTCATTTCCTTCCATGGCTTCATCTGCTGTAGCTCTGCCTCCACGATTTGGTTCCTGTCAGGGGGATCTTTGGCGTTTCAGGAAGGGGCCATCCTATGTATATTGAAGATACACATTTCGACATCTGCTGCTCGGATCCACAACATCATCCAAAACACAGCTAACAGATACGAATTAAGACAACGCCTATGGATGTAATTTGCAGCACACACAAGGAGCAGGTGGCTCTGTACTCTGATAGATGTCCGTTCGCGATGGTCCCGAAACATTCAAGTAACCCTCGGCGCCCTTTTTGAGACAAAATATAGCATGATCAACCAGAGTGTATGTGCCTGGGACAAGCATCTTCATATCGACAATAGCATTGCCTCCAAGGGGAATATTGATAGTTTACACGAATTGACCGGATGAGTTGAATACATCACCGTCGGGTTAGACTTTCTGGAAGACGCTTCCAATGACAGCTAATAGACTGATTAGATCTGGTTCAGCGTTCACCAAAAAGATTCGTACGAAGTCATTCACTCGAGCTTTTAGAGGTCTGTACCTTGAAACGGCGCTGTTAGATCTGTTAAACATCACGGCATTGAGTTCTTCATGTAGCCCGCTCGGATAAGAGAATTTTACTATGGGGAAACTTGCCCGTCGTCATCGGGTTCGGGCGGCTCGTGATAAAACTTGCTATGGAACATAATATTCGTGGTCCACAGGGGGAAGATCACCCTCCGCTGGTTGTACATATATGAGGCCATACATGCAATCCGCAATATAAACAGGAACGGGCGCTGCGGCACAGTTGTAAATACATCGAACCGGGTACGTGAGGCGGAATCGTGCGGTCTTTGTTTCGCCTTCCTCGGCTGTTGTCGGAGCTGAGCCGCCACCGGGGCCCAGGAAGGCGTGACAGTCGACACTGTGCGGGTTTTATCAGTGCTAATTCCAGTTGGTCACCGAGAGACTAGCTAGTGCCATGCTGAAGTAGTGATGTTGAGGCGATCGAGACGTTTACATTGAACATTGATTCACCGCCAAAACTTCTGCGGTGACCCTACGGTTCAGCAAGAATTATCCAGCCAACAACGTATTCCGAGCGAGTCGTCTATCGCATCAAAAAGACCCTTTGGGATCAAACTGGTTTCACCAATTCACGCAGAGCGGGAAACCGCACGATTCCACAGCAGCAGGTTAAGTGAGCGGTGCAAATATGGAAATTGTAGGATTCTAGAGCTAGAATTGCTTTAGTTTTCCAAGGAGGAGCAAGTCGCCGGCTCTCAAAGCTCTTACCTCTTGGACCACAATCCCCTGGCCTACTAGTCATCCGAGCTTACCAAGTGATGGAGCTTTTCGAGGACCCATTCAACGAGCCCTTTTTCCTGTGCCTCGAGCGACTGTTTATGGTAGTCAACTTTGAAGTCCCCATTCTTGGTGTACCTGACAATCGCAAAATGTTTGTTTTGTCCTTCGCCAGAGCTGAAGTCGACCACACCAGCATTTCTAGAGATAGACGTGAAATCAACTATAAAACTAGCTGGGTATTCGGCCCGACTAATGTAAAACTTCATTTTGGGCTTTATCTGCGTTGTCGTTTGATTGGAAGCAAGCACCTTGAAAGCGCGTGGTCTTAGCTAGATGAATAATACAGCTCGCAGATAGATCGTATTTTCTCTCACCGTTGCAACAGGGATTAAACGGCCGTGTCCATCCATCTTTGCCATACCGATAAGGTATCTGTTATTGGGGCTTGGGAGGTCGTTTCCGGTGAATATTTCAAAAGTTGCAGTGGGAGCTCCGTGGGTGTTCTCTGTCAAAGTCGCCGCATCATTAATGGTGGTCTTCATCTGAAAAGAGCCTGTGTGAAATAATGTCATTAACAGAGCGCTTGATTTGACAAGGGGCTTCCTCCTTGCATGGGCTAGGTAAATGTACTTCCTTTGCTCCTCTCCGTGCCAAGGGATGCTAGTCGTCCGACTCCGGTAGGAACCTCCACCCCCGGTGCGGGGTTGCGGGGCACCGTTCCTGCCCCTATTCAGGTTAGCTTTCAGCAAAACTTAGTTTTTACTTTGGAAACGAGCACTGCAGTGACTTTCCCCGCCTGGATTTGCAGAGCGTACAAGCGAAGCAATCGACATCAGTTGACACGCCCAAATTTCCACCGCTTGAAACGAGCATGCTGATCCAGCAACTTGAGAAAATGCCATTTTTGTTGAGGGTTTCAGGAGGATCCATAACGAAGGAAAAGAAATGGTCAGATGTGTCCTCGTTGACGAGGCGGATATGATAGACTGTCATGACGTAAGAACAATGTACGATCTCGATTATGCAATGGACTGTTGACATTCGTTGAGCGTTTATCAAGATTCTGTTGATTGTATGGTGGATGCCTGGCCTAGAAGAGGAACCTTGTCTATATTTGTTGACAGCCACAAAGTCTGGCCGGTATTACCAAGAGCTGAGGGACGTTTGATCGATGACATGACTAGTAGTGGTCTGGAGTTTGGATTGCACACAGTGGGGTCACCAAAGCCTGGACCACCACTGTTGACCGCCCCCATCCCCGCTTTCTTACAAAGCTTGCTATTATAGTTAAGTAATTACATATTATGGGGTGCACGAACTACTTTTATGGGCCGGCAGAGCCAAGTTATGTCCAATAAACACCCTGCCAGGCTTAAGTGGTCAACTAATAGTTTTCCAGCGAAAATATTGCTTTGTGCGAATTCACCAGATCAACTCACTGACGCTTTGTTGTTTTTCTGTTCTTTGATACTTTCTCGACAACGAAAAAATAATATTAGAAGTATGAAAACGTTCCATCGTCGTCTTTCCATTTCGTTTATGGTTGCAGTCAGGAAAGCGAATGATTTAATACAGCATCAGTTTTATTAATCAACATTCCCTAACCATCCACAAACCGTGGATTAAGATATTATATTCCAACCATTGCTACACTGCTACAAATGGCGGCGAGTGAGATATTTTTGGCCTGTACGGGGCACGGGCAGTCTAAACACGGTGATGTAGGTCTCCTTGACAGAGGGCTACAGCGCCGTGAGGGCTGCAGGCGGGTCCAAATGAGGATGGTGGAGGGGCTGGTGGTATGGAAGATGAGACCGGAGTTGGATGACCGGTCTGGAATTGACGGTTCCAGGCGTACAGTGCTGTTGGAGGCGTCGTGAAGTAAAGGCGGAAGGCTTCAGAAGACCATCTTCGGAGGGCTTGGATGTGGTCACTTCTCAAGCCGGCATCGTGCGCGTGTTGTGCTGCCCCTTTTCTGAAACTATGACCCTTAGGTCCCGTGGTATCCTCCCCAGAGCGTTTGAGCTTGGCGATAACGGCGCGTTGGAAGGCGACTGAGGTGAATGGCCCGGAGGAGAGCGAAACAAAGGAGCAGTTGAAGGTTGTGAATCATGGAGGAATAGCTTAGAAAGACCCTCAACGGGGCAGGCCGCGTCGTTTGTCGCTGCAAGGATAATATTGACACCTTCGTGGTTTCGGTCGGTCTTACTTCTCTTTAAAGTGGGAGGACGTGGTCCATGGTAGGGGAGAATCTGATACCCCCCCGGGTTAACTTAGTAGCAACGAAGATTTGCGTATTCCTATGTTCAGCAGCTGAGTATGTAAATTCCCCGACCCGAAGAAACCCGGCGAAGGCGACCCGGGCAGCCACGGCGAGATTGAGATCATCTCTCTGGGGCCCTGAGAGCCTCAGCGGCTGGGCAGGTAGATGTGAGATATTCCCTGATAGGGTTATTACTGAGGTGCGTGGGATTGGATTGCGAACCCGCTTTGGGCGCGGGGGTTGCAGCCGCCGAGCACCATCGACCATGCGACGAAAATGCTTGGCGTGGAGGTCAAAAATTGCATCAGAAAGACCGTTGTCGACGTGGTACGCGCGGAGAGTAATCCTTTTCACCGTATCGTAGCCAGAGAGAATATTTGCTATCCAAATTGAACGGCGATTTATCAACAACGCTCAAATTCGAGTCATCTGATAGAGCTCCAAAGTGCACTACATTGACTCGGACAGGGGAGACGAATGGTCGAAGTTCCGGAATGAGATGGCCAACCCATGCATTCTCGGCATGGATCACGTTTCTGGCTTTCAGTTCGCCCCGGTTAGTACGGATAACGGCATATTCAGAGGTTTCAATGTCCAGAATAGCTGAGAGCTCAGACATAGCTGTATCCGGCTTCACTGGTGGGCTCATACCTGCGCCCAGCAGTCGTTCCGTGAGCCAAGTGTAGATCGCTGGTGCTGTTGCTGGCCACGGCTGTAATCCATTGAGGGCGCAGCTACGGGTGTATGAGCGCTGTGCAGAGCGGTATCCCTTTCTCGTTCCCTCTGCAAGACCATTCCAGACCAGCTTAGCATGACCGGCACTCACGAAAATAGGCTGGCGGAGCAAGGGAAAGGAGCTCGTCCACTGTGGGCAAATGTCAGCGATGGAACCATAGTCGGAACGGGATAATGCGTCAGCTAGCAGGTTCTCTGATGAAGGTAGCCAGTGTGGCTGGATTTCTATGTCAAGGGCGGCTGCTATGCTAAAGAGTATGAGCAGTTGGCGATGGGCCGGCCCGCGGAGTGCCTGCTTAGACAGGCCATCGAACGCGACGGCACTGTCCGTGAAAGCGAGGACACGATGATGAGCCCAATGGAGGCTGTGTAGAAGGAAGGCCTGCAGAATTGCGGTAACCTCCTTGGTGTTAATGTGGGCCTCGCTAGCGCAGGCGGAGGAGGCGTCCACAATAGCCGCATGAGTGGAAGGCAGGTAGGTTGCTGCAGACGTCCAGTCTCTGGCGGAGTCCCGTGAGGGCGCATAAAAGAAGAAGAGGCCCAGACCTGAGTCGCACGCGTCTGTGTAGAGGGCAACTAGGGGGGCGGCTCTCCTCGAAGAGATGGATGCCGTTGAATAACAGGATCGTGTCCCTCCACCATGCGAGATCCTCGCGGCTATCATGGGATAGGCGGCGGACAGAGCGCTGGTGAGGTGGGAAGGATGAAAGGTCGCTGTAGAGCGAGTGGAGGCGTGTTCTGCCGAGACGAATGACCATTGAGCAGTGTTGGAGGAAGCCGACCACACGTTGCAAAGCTTTATGCGAGACGCGATCTTGCTGCAATAGCGACGCGGCTTCGGAAGATGCGCGTGCCAGCTTATCGCGAGGCATGCGGGCCTGCAGAAGTGTCGTGTCGATTTCGACCCCCACTGACCACGGTACCTGCGGCATCTTTGGTGACATTTCTTGGGATACCCAGTGCATCCGTCAGAGGAATGTATACGGCATTGAAGTCGGCGATAGCCTGAGAGACACTTCCTACAGAAGGAGGAAAAACAGTGATGAAATCGTCAAGGTAATGAACGATATAGGCCCCAGGTAAGTAGGCAGTCAGAAGCCAGTTGAGACCCTCAGCAAAAAGGTTAAAGATGAAGGGTGCAGTTGCAAGACCAAATGGAAAGCAACACTCCATATATGTCTTGATATCCCACGAAAAGGCTAAGAGGCGCCGGGCGGCGGGTGCGACGGGGATATTGCGGAAAGCATCCTTGATGTCGCGTTTGATGATGTAGCATCCTCGTCCAGAGGTGCGGATGAGATCGAAGATTTGATCTATGGAGATGTATTGTATAGCAGAGGCGGTATCCGAAATAGACTCGTTGACACTACGTCCTGGCGGGTAGGAAAGGTCATGGATCCGGCGCCAGCTTCCGTCGTGTTTAGGTACGAGCCCTAGTGGAGACACAACGACCGGGCCAGTGCATACTTGCACCCGGCGATTTGACAGGTCATCGGAGAGCTTCCGGGTGATAAAAGGGGGTTCCTCAATATGGTGATTAGGTGTTCGACGGTCTGTCGGCTGGGCCGTACAGCCAAGGCGGCAACCGAAGGTAAGGATGCCGCTGCAGATAGTCCCCAGGTTTCCAGGGTAACGCTCGAGGAGAGTTTTCCATGCCGAGGCAATGAAAGGGGAGGCAGAATCACATAGGGGCGGGAGCGAGGGGTCGAAGACCTCAAACTGCATAGCAGTGTTGGGACGTGGGGCTGGCCAGCTGGTTGGCCGCGACAGCGTTTGACTTGTATCAGGGCCGAGCCGGACGTGGTCCTAACTTGCTACTTTCACTTTGCAGCTGATGACGGTGTGATCGCTACCGCACTTGGAGCATACGTGTCTGCGGTGACATGTTCGCCAGTGGCAGCCGGCAGGTGAGTTAAACTTTTCGCAAACGACAGTGTCGTTGTTTGGGGCAGCAGTAGAGCGCGTTGGCCGTGTGTTTGGGATGGTCGGCGCCGTCTTTGCTGGAAGCACGTTGCCTGGGCGCAGATAGGAGCTTTCGAGGGGCTTTCCGATTTCCCAGTCATTAGGAGAAACGGTGAGGTCGCCTTTGTCGACGACCATCTGGTGGTGGTCTAAAGCCATTTGTAGGATACAGTCCTGCCATTTATATGTTCTGGCAAGGTCACAAATGCGGCGATGAAGGAGAATCATTCCACTGATGCATAGCGGGTGCTTGGCGGCAAAGAAATCACACCAGATAGCGACGTAATTGCTGAAGCAATGGGCCCAGAGGGATGCGTCGTTACCCCAGTCCTTGATTGAGACCACCTTGCGGAATTGCAGTGGACTTTAAGTCGAAAGACTCGCCATCCGGTGCCGAGGCTTTGAACTCGGGGCTGCGAAGTCTTATGAGGTCCTTCTTCGGGCGGAAGGTGTGTTCGAAAACAGCGATAATGGCAGCACGGTCGAGGCCGGGGAAGCGGACACAGTGGACATGAATGAATCACGTTGGGTATTAGAGAGGGAATTCCATATATACTTTGGTGGAGAACGAGGAGGCCAGGGTGGTCTGTCCCCCAGGAGTAGGACTGGGGGCCTCGGAACTACGTCGCACCATTGTAAAAGGAACTCTTGAAGAAGAAACCGTTTCGAAGAGAGCCCAGCTCTCCCTCGAAACGGCGATGTTCCTTTCGAGGGAGGGGATAAACGAGCGATATCTGTGTGCGATTTCACGCACGGGAATATCGTGGACCCGACGCAAGGGGGGGTCTCCGCAACAATCCCGAATAGAACATATCATAGCGATTCTGTGTGATAATGGACAATATCTCAACTGAGATCCAATATCCAAACTCATGGCCATGAATATAGGCAATATTAATGGCAAAGCGCCAGGATGGACCCCACGGCGTGTGATTCTGCTGGCGACGGTGGAAAGGATCGGGAGCATTGACCAACCGCGCGCAGCTTGTGCTGGAAGCATTGCCCACAAACCTAGCGAATCGTCAGCCCGGGATGACCGACCACGAAGCCCCACTGATAAGATTCTACCAACCAGCTCTCGGAGAGCATTAGGTTATTGTGCCAGCATTCAATCAACGTGCGGGGCTGCTTTCGGCGCGATCTATCATTAATGGTCAGTAGAGATTACATGGAGATTCTGCATCACTCACTATTCTCACAACCCGAGTAAGACTGCCAAATCCAGGCAAGGTAGAGATGTCGACTCTCTTCGTGAGAACACTAGAAACAGGGATGGTTAAGGAATATTCCCGTCAGCATGGTGTCAAGTGCTAGGGTTGATGCACATACCTACCATGAACGTACTTCTCTATCGGGCGTAGACAAGCTAAAGGCAGTGTTTTGAGCGTCAGTACAATCACAAGTATGAGAGATCAGGTTCCGTACCACAGAAAGAAAGCCCAAGGTGCAGGCCATATTCCGATGCTGACCTGTGCCACTTTGTCCTTTCTCGTCCTAGTAAAAGACATAGGCCAGGCTCGATATGTTCAATCGTGTCAGTACAAAAGACGGGCGAGGTGGAAGAGCAACTGGTCATTTCTTAGAGTTGGGCAGACTGGGGCGTGTTTTCAAAGAGACCGTTGTGCTGGGGTCTGGGGGACATATTTATAGTGCTGCGGGCGTGTTGTCGCTCGCGCAGCTGTAATCGAGGGTCCGACCTTGTTGGCCCTCATATCGTGGCCTGTTGAACCGTTTCATGATTGATTATATGCTAGTTCGATTGGAGCCGCAGTTTTCATCTCGATGAAAAATTATTCTGAAGTCTTATTTCAGGATTTCAGCGTCGCTTCAACGTTCGTGACGCAGCTACCAAATCAAAACACCAATAACGCATCGTGTCAACTTTCATAAACATAAGGTTCTACCAGTCAAAATACATTCTGGCTATTCCTCCAGTACATGGTACCAAAAGAAATTCTGTGGCCTCATTCAACCTGTTCTCAGCGATGATAATTGCTCATTTCGATGATGAAAGTTCAACAGGCTTAACACCATGTAGATAAATTTGTATGCGGACTCATCGACCGGCCTACTTTTGATATCATGTGGTTGGAATTAATTTTTTTTTTCTTTTCTTTTGTTTTCTTTTCTGCTTCCAGTGGCATCAATTTCTGCCTAATGTACTACTGTCAAAGCGTTGGTTTACATAAAACATCGTATTCCTGAGGCTCTGCAAATAACGCTGGTTCCCAAAAATATATTCCCAGGGATCAGCATGGTCGAGCCCATCGTAAATGGAGGGAGAGCAAGTAGAAAACGATGGACAGATGCGGAACTTATCTGCGTCACTGTGAATATTCTCATGCAGACTACCCCGCTACGATCTGAAATCTCGAAAAGTACCAAGCAAGCACTCATGCTGCGATCTTTTTCCGTTAATCCCTTTTGCCGGTTCATCTCTGGGTGAACATCCGGAGCCGCATGCCTGACTGGCAATTAAAGCGGTGAATATTGTAGACAATCTCCCTGCGCGACGATCCCAAGACTTGTCTCCAAGAAACACGATGTACCGTACCAACCGCCTCAGGATCCCAAGAAACACCACTGAAGCCACTAGGAACGATGCTTGAGTCATGCCAATCGCACGATTTATGGCTTTGCGAAACACAAGGCTCATCCGAATCCCTTGGCGACTCCGAGACTATTCTCCTCCCACACAACACCACGCATTGCCTCAGCAGGTGGCATCGATACAATGCCTTGGAGCACTTTGCCAGCCTGACCTAGCCATTGTTGGAAGATACATTTCGAGAACATGACTGGAAGATTACCTTACATGATCTTTTGGAGAGATATAAAGCTTTGGAAACACGCTTTCCGTCCGCCTAGAATGCCTAGGGCATGGCGTCGTGCTCGCGTCACAAGAACTCACCTCGAGAAAATATCGGCTCGAGTTTGTTGTGATAGCCACTACCAAATATGTACTGAGAGCACATATGATAAGGCCAAAAGTTGCACAAATGCTATCAGGTAATTCTCTACACAGACGTGTCTGTATTGTCAAGCTAAATGTAGATTTTGATGCTAATTCGAGGTTCTCTTAATTGGTGACACTTCACAAGAACAGCAACCTCTTGAAAAATCATCCCAGAAGCAGGGCTCTCTCAAAACAAGGCCCACCAGTCGATATGGTGCCATAGAAACCCTATTTAATGAAGAAATCGACGGCCTGTCATAAGAAGAAACATAAGTTACCAGGGGCATCCTGTCCGGAAAATTCATAGGCAGCATCATCACTACCGGCTTCGCGTAGAGATAGACTTATGAGCTAAGCTTAAATATATTCTTCGGAGCAGTTGCAAGCGTGCCGTCAGTCTTCAGTCTCAGCGGTGTGGGAGGACCAGGTCCTTGGTGTAGCACACCGCTGGCGGGAACATCACCAGAGCCCCTGTGGCTGGTTCCATGACTTTCGCTCAGACCAACAAGAGAGCATATTTGGGACTGGGTATGCGCTATCATAGCGTGAGTATAGGCCTCCATGGTATCCTGGGTTAAAGGGCGGCTAGCAATAGAGTCGATTATGGAAATGGGCATCGTGGGCTGTAACGGTTGTTGCGTTGCGTTACTTTCGGTCACTGGGAAGATCTATGTTGTCGTAACGCAATACTGTCAGCCTTACTGATCAAACTTTGAGATCAGCGCGGTCCTTTGACCAGCGATAACAGCCGGCACCAAGCTGAAAAGATAGGAATCATCGTCTTCCGAAGAGCTTGCATCTCGTGAAGAGCAAGAAATGAAGACTGTCTCGACAAGAAGGTGTGTATGGTAAGCGTTTTGTGTGCTTACCTTCCAAACAGAGAATCCAGCCTCAGCCTCAACTAGAACCCTTGGTCGTAGACAGATGTAATCTGACTTAAGGATAGGCTTGGCATAGACAAGGGGTAGGTGTATAAAGGGTATGCTTCGGTGAGGTCGTCGTATGAAGCAAGTGGATATAGAAGTCCCAATGATAGAAATAGAAGTTGTTGTAGAACAACTCATGAAAGGTGGAGCGGATGCTGCCCTGCCCATGTGTAAAATCACGCGAGGGGAGAGAGGGAACCCACGTTGACAGCTCATCAGGCTCTATGACGTCAGTGGCGCCGCATCTGGGCTTCAAGGGGCCAATTGCAGGTGGAAGCTATCACAAAACTCTATTACGAAACTGTCCAAGCGCATAATACGCGTGATGATCCCAAGCTCTTCGGCTGAAGAATGTGTCAAGATGAGGAATTGATGTGCTGGCTAGTACTGAACATGTCCAATAGAATCAGATGATCGATTGAAGGTGTTGAGATCATTTCAGCGATCTCAGGGGTCTCTTTTTCTAATTGAACTATGGTTGTCATGAAGCCATACTAGGGTGAATCGGGTGAACGACGAATAAGCCTATCTTGAAGGGCCCTAGTGGTATCTGACCACTCCCTCAGTCCGTCAATTCTATCTTCTGCTGAAGACCTCTATCCTGGGCAGAGCCCATATATGATCTGGGATGCATCGGCAAAGCAATTGGTGTTCTCCAGCCAAGTAGTCCGCTATTTTTTTCGACAGAACACTGCCGCAGAGTAATATTGAGTTGTTAGTGCAGGGAATTGGTCATGGTCCCTATCTCCCTGGGCCGTTGGAGAAAACCCGTCTGACAGTACAAACCATAGTCCCCATATACTTTCCATTGGGGATGGGGTTGTTCAGTACACAGCCCCATCTACTAAGGGTGCGACACACTTCTGCTCAGAACGCACCGG